TATCAGCTCAAACATTTTCCAAAACAGCCCAGGTTTCCTGGGGGAGATGCTGTGACTGGTTCCATTTGTTTACAAGTGGCAAGCTGAGCTCTGGCTTGTTGAGAGAGCCATATAGCTCCTGCCCTGGGGAAAGATCCCTAGGGCTCCAGACAACCCTCCCTCCAGGACCTTCCAAGGCCCCCAGGACCTGGGCTGGGCAGAAACTCTCAAGAGGGGTGATAAGAGGGGAGGGGAAGGGCAAACCCAGTTTGCTATTCTCCTGCGAAGCCCAATAGCCTGGACTTTCAAAATTGGTCTGGCAGGCTGCCAGGACTGGGGTGGGAGCAATGACTGACAGGCTGGTTATTGGAAAGCTCCCATCATTAGCCCAGGAATGTTGTTTGGTTACTATGGCGACCTTCCCTACAAGCAGCCTGACTAAAGCACAAGGAATCTGTTACCTAAAACCAGCACCCCGTGGAGCCCATGGCTTCTGGAACAAGCTTATCAGTGGCCAGTTCCCTTGACTCTCCTAGCTGGGCTTCCCAAACCCAGGAAGGGAGAAGAAAACAGCTAAGACATTGCTGAGCTTGCTGTGGGGAACCTCTCGAATTCCAAGGCCCGGCCTGGCTTGGAACTCAGGTCCAAATAGGGAGCCTGCTGCCCCCTTGAGGCCCCCTGCAAACTGGCCAGGAGTAGCCTGGCCAGCACATGTGTCCAGGGCTTAGTGGAAAGCCCTCAGCATTTCAGGAAGCTGCTCGGGTGTCTGGTTCTCATCATGCCAGGTTCACACTGTCCCTGCAGGGCCGTCAGCCGCTGCCTCATCACGTTTCTGCCTTTTTAAACTCAAGCTCCATTAACTAAAGGTCACCCCACAGCACGGAAATAAAGATCCCCTTTGCTATGTTTTCTAATCCCTGAATTTGAAGTCAGCTCCACAAAGGCTGGGATTTTCTCCAGGAGTCTTGAGTCCTGGGAATGGTGACCTCCTGGTGGCTGCTAGGGAGCCGGAACACTTCTTCTCAGCTTCCACCGACCCTCATGTGCAGGACGCCCTCCCCTGGTCCACCACGTGTGCTGTCCACCTTGAGCCCCATGTCACAGCCTTATGCTGTGGACCATTTCCCCTTCCTCCACTGCTGCCCTTGAGCCAGGCTGTAAACTGTGAAATCTTCTCCTGTCTGAATCTCACAATAGACCCTGGAAGCACAGGGAGGCAGGAGAGATTTCAGTCTTTCAGCAGCTGAGGAGGAGGGGGCATGGGGAGGAGGAGCAAGCTGCTGGAGGGAGCATAGCTAAGTGACAGCCAGGGACCTGCTGCGGCTCCCACGTGGGGACAAGCCAAGAGGAAAGGGTCTATTCCACTCCCCAGCATCCCCCTGTGCCAGGCCTCCTCCACCCGACACGGGGCCAGCCTCTCCCTGGCTCTGCACAAAGGCAGAGCAAGGTCTCAGCCACTGGAACCAGCAAGGCGCTGGGTGGCAGGCAGGCCCAGACCCAGTGCCTTTGACTGCCCACAGGACAGAACTTATTGACGATGCTGAGGTCAGGGCATCTACCCCATCATCTGGGGCAGATTTATTTTGTTGGGCTGCACTGATATTTATTGGATTCGGGGTTTACTTAACTGCCGTGGCAACAGCTAGAGCCACGCACAGCTTGTTCCCAACGCAGGGAGCAGCTGGGAGAGCAGGCTACAGTTTCAGCTGAAGGGCAGTGACATTCCTCAGTGATCCCTGACCGTAATGGGCCCAATGACATTTCCTGCTAGTCCATGTCTCATCCGTGGGGAAAAGCACTGACTTGTTTGCAAAGACCCACGGTCACACCCTAGGTCACTCCACAGTGCTGTGTGGTAGGTGGATATTCCACTCTCATACCCCTCCTCCCTCCCTCCCTTTTTTTTTTTTTTTTTTTTTGCTTAAGACAACAGAAATATACTGTTTTACAGTTCTGGAAACCAGAAGCCCCTTGCATTTTATTCAGTTAGTTTTGCAGCCTTTTAGGGCTGGCCCAGTTCAAAGGGGAGCTCCCCATGGTCATGAATGTGAGGGGTACACAGTGGCTCAGAAATAAGAACCTTCTCTAGCTCCCTGGATGGGCAGGTTCATGGATGGAAGCACCATAGGGGACGGGACGCTCTGGGTGCCAAACACTCCACAGCAGGCTTCTCTGTGGTGACAGAGGAACACAAGAACCCCAACTGTGCTCTGGGAATGGGACTTTCAAACATTTTCCTTCCTCGGGCTGGGACGTCAGAGGTGTTTCCTTGTGCTTCCAGCCCAAGAGCGTCTGAGGCCCCTGTAGTGGCCCTGCGGTGTTTGGACAGAGGGGCTCTGCTCCCACGGCAGAGGCTGCCCCATGCTGAAGGCGCCTGCCTACAGAAGTGGGGACCCGGCTGACACCGAGTGGCAGTCACCCTATACGCTGCCCACCAGCACAATCTCCACCTGGGGGTCCCACTTTTTTGGCTTCTCTTCTCCCGATGCAGGCACGCAGGCGCAAATGTCACAGTTCAGGTCCAGGTATTCTTGGGGGCCCAGAAGGCCACCCACAGGGCTCCAGGGGAAGTCACCACCCTCACAGCAATGCCCCACCCGCCCCCCACCTCTCCAAGACACTTTGAGTGACTGAAGCGTTTCCCGGTGAGAGTCTGCACCTGAGGGAGGTGAGAAGAAAGAAGGGGGTGGTGGAAAGTACACTTGGGGGGCTAGAAGGAGACGGTTTTGCACTCAGCCCAAGAGCCAGGAGCAGGTGGGAGCGGGTGGCGAGAAGGAAGAGGATGGGCGGAGGCAGGAGACACCTCCCAGGGCGTGGAACAAGACAGGCGAGGTGGGTTTCTGCCTCACACGCGGTAAATTTCAAGCTGACTTCAAAGAGTGGCGCTGGCCTCCCCACATCAGGCCAGGGAGGGGATTCTGCCAGCAGAGAGCATTCAGCCCAGGAGTTAGGAAGAGATACATGCGATCAAATGGCTGACAATGGCACGGGAAGCTCCTGCACTGGATCAGGGGGCCCAAGGGAGCAGTGTGTGCAGCCCCTTCTGTGGCTTCCACAGGAGAGCTCTGCGCCCATCTGCTCCGTCTCCATCTATTAACACATGGAAGATTTCACTCGGATAAAGGACAACATCTGACGCCTGGCCCAGCCTCTGGTTTCTTCTGCGACACACACTCTGAGCCAGGGGCTGGATGAGGATTCTAACCCTTTTACTGTTCTAAGCCTTCCACCGAAGCCTAACTGATAATAAAACACACAGAGGCACGCTCGTACACACACATATGCACACACACGGCTGGCAGCAGACCCATGGGTCTGACCCTGCCAGATAGTCTTGAGCTTGGGAAAAAGTCAGGTTAGCTGGTACTAGAAGAGGAAGACCTTTGTCCTTCCTCTATTTTTATAAAAGTAAAAAATAAACTTCTAAACAGTAGGTCTTGCTGTACTGTATTTGGGATTAGGTAACTACGCCTTGTCCACACACATGGTTCTATCTACGTGGTGTATGCCCTAGGCGACTTGCCTTTTAAAGTGAACTAATTTCAATTTTAATAATCTCTCAAATATAGAAGGGAGGCCAAGAGCCAGGGCTGTCTTGTGAACACAAAGGACAGGCTATGTGGAGCTGGCCTCGCACCATCTCGTCTCACACCTGCCCAGGGGCAGCTGGGACCCACCGGTGGAGCTGGACTCCACTGATCCTAGTCCAGACTAGCACCCCCACCCCGCCCACAGCATCGTGACTCCTGACCCTGCTGTCCTGGCCCAGGTGGGTCCCAGCTGCCCCTGGTCAGGTGTGAGCTGAGATGGTGCAAGGCCAGCTCCACATAGCCCGCTCTTTGTGTTCATAAGACTTGGTGAGGAGGAAGTCACACCCAGCAAAGTCCATGGGCAAAGCCACCGTGGCATCTTCTGAAAGGGGCCCAAGGCACAGGAAAGCCTGAGCCCCTGATGCAAAGGGTCAGTCCTGCCCCTGCTGGACTAAAGGTAAACAGAGACAAGCGCTTGGGCTCTCCACGTGGAGGGACTCTCCCTGGGCCGGGTCGCCTGCAGTTCCCCTCGATCACTGATCTCGGCTGTGGCACCCACCAATTTTCCTAATTCTCTGTGAAACTGTTTTCACTGCCAGCATGAGTCACCTCTCAGGGCACCAGGACCACGCTCCTTTCTGCTGTCTGAAGCTAACAGCCTTGGGCTGTTTCTAAAGGGTTCTCTTTCAAACCCCAAGGAAGAGCATAGTGGGAGTGGGGTTGCTCAGGGCCCTCATTCTGGGATCATGGGATTCAGAGGAACAGGGTTTATTAGCACCCTATGTCACCTGTCCCAGGGAAGGAGGGCAGAAATCAAAAGATGACCTCCCCCTCATTTCCTCCACGGGGCAATGCACCCTCCTGCCTCAGCCAGCCAGTGAGGCTCTTGTTCCCCAGGGTCCTGGTTGGATGGCAGTAGGTCCCCTGTGTATAGGTGGGGGCAAGAGGGTCTAGTCCTGCCCCACTCACCACCACTGGGGCCACGTGCAGCATGAACCCTGCTCCCTAGAGACAGGCATCTGGGCGATGTGACAAGCCGAGAATAGAGGGAAAGGCCAGGACCACTCTGAGGGGATATAAATCTTCACCCCGACTGCCTGTGGCCTTCTTGGAGGTAGGGGCCAACTCACATGGCCTCTATCAGCCCAGCCACTGTTAGAAACCATCCTTGGCTGGCTATGCCAGGGTTATGGTTAAGCAGGGTTATGATTAAGTCACACAAGTTAGTGTCCCCATGATGCTCAAATGTAGAGTGCAGGGCGGGATGGAAGCAGCTCAGGCATGTTATCTTAGAGCACAGTCTCCTTGGTGATCCACACAGCCCCCCCCGGAGCTTGCAGTTACCACCGAGAGCGTCCCCCTCCACACACAGTGCCTCCTGGCACCAAACAGAATGCCAGAGCCAGGCTCCGAGCCCACAGGTCCTCGGCCCGCCTTGACTCTCAGTGCACAACCAGCCTCCCAGCCCAGCAGTGTCCACAGGGAACTCACTTGAAGTTCTCAGGGTACTCCGTGATGGCCATGTTGATAACATCCAGGGCGTGCTGGTAGTGTTTTTGGGCGGAGAAGAGGAGCGCCAGCAGATGGAGGGCGTTGGCGTCATCCTTGCACACTTTCAGGGCCTCCTGCAGCTGCTCCATGGCGCTGGAGATCTGCCGGAGAAAACTGCCAGCTTAGCGACCTTCCCCAAGGCCCACACTGCTCCCCGGACTCGGGGGCCAGGTGCCAGCCCGCTAGGCGCAGCAGACCCAAGTGAGACCCCAGACCCTGTGGGGCAGGCAGGGGCTCTGATGAGAAAACACACCATGTAAGGGTCTGCTGTTCCAAGTCAGTGCAGTCCCCACAGAAAAGAGAAAAGAGGGGCAGGTCCACAACGGACCATGAAGGACTGGTCGGGAAGCCCCAGCCAAACTGGAGGAGCGGGGACTGTAAGAGGCCACCCAGACCACTGGCTACAGATCTCTCCTCTGAACCTGTTCTCACAGTGATTGGGGCTGACAGATTCATGTTGCCTCCTACTCAGGGGCTCACAGTGGCAAAAGCTTAGGCCTGCGGTCAGACGGGATGTGAATTCCAACTTGGCCACTTCCCAGCTGGTGCCAGGGCAGGGGACTTGGCTTCTCTGAGCCACAGGTCTTACGCTGCAAAATGAGGATAACAGTCCTACCTACAACACTGGCTGACAGGGCGAGACAACATAGGAAAAACGTCCTGCTGGGCATGGAACACGTTTGAAAATGCGCATTTCCCTCTTCAAGCCCCCAAAGCCCAGGCAGCTAATGAACAGGTTAAGAGCCTTCCTTCAAGTCCAGAGAGACATGTTGACTCAGGCTCTCAGGCTTAGCAGTTGTCAGCTATTTGAGACACTATCCACACCAGGGCCTCATCCTCCCAGGAACCTCAGAGTCTTTTTCCAAATGTCTTGCTCTTGACCAAACCTCAGACCTACATCTCCAATGCTCCTGGAGGGGTCTACAGTACACAGGTCAGCTGGGGGCTCTGGTCCCTGGCATGCCTGACCCCTGCCTGGTCTCCACCTGGTGTCTGCACTACTGCCAAGCCCAGAGTTCTCGAATGGGGACTTCCTTCTGTGGAAAGGTCATGGAAAGTAAAGGAGGAAGCTAAGGTCACTGTGACCGCTGGCTCAGCTTGCCCATGCCCCCCACCCCAAGGCTGCTCCAGCAGCATGATCCTGGGCTGGGTGTCCAAACCCGCAGCCCTCACTGTTTGAGCAGCCAGACATGCTTTGGGAAGGATGGCCCAGAGGGCCTCAGAGACCCAGGCAGGCAGGACTAGCTTAGGGTCCATTCAGAGACCCTCAACCCCCTGAGGTTACCAAGATCTGGGGACCCCAAGGACACGGAGTACCAGGCTCCACTGGCCTGGCCTAGCCATCTCTCCCGGAGGACAGAAGCCATTCATCAGAGGTGACTGAATAATTAAAGATACTAAAAAATGCATCACGGAAGGTTAATCAGGAACTGGACGGGCAAGGGAGTTACTGGTTCTCCAACTGAGGCTAAAAATAAACTGGTCTCGGGTATCTTCGAGTCCACGCTCCAGGGAGCACCAGAGCGGACTGATGTTTCTGGAGACAGTGGTGGAAGGGTAGCGAGTGCCTGCTCTAGGACCTGGGAGTTGGGAAGCAGGGGCAAGTGGCATGGGGGGGCTGGAAAGACAGCTCCCTGAAGAGAAGACCAGGGGCCAGAAGTTGACACCGACCCATAAAACCAACCACCAGGCTGGTGGACAAGGCTCCAAGTGCCCGCTTCCAAATGGGACAGGGGAACAGGATACTTAGAGCCACATGGGGCTGCTTTAACTAGGTCAGAGTGGGCCCTGAAGCTGAACTGTGCAGGCGCGGCCAGCTCCCAGCTCCTGAGCTCAGCAGAGCCGCAGCGCCTCAGGTGTCAGACGGGGCCAGCGGCACCCTCCTGTCAGCTGCAGGGCTGGCCGCGCCCGTGGAGCATGGCAGCACTCGTCAGCCGGGCTGCCCATCGCCCAACTGCGAGCAGCCACCCCCAGAGGGCTCTGCGGACTCCTCTCTGCCAGGCTAGCGCCCAGCCCTGGTCCCGCCACTCCTGGTCTGCGGTCCCTGAGTGGCCCAGTGTCCACTCACCAGACCGAGGCCGCTGCTTCACACAGAGCACCAGCCCGAGGGGCCCATGTGACAGCAGAGACTCTGAGGGGCCTGGGGGGATGGGAACCTCCGCTTTTTTCTGAGAGGTGACAGCTGGGTGGGTGACTGCCTGACCTCACTCAGTCCCCGCACAGACCTTTCGGCACCAACAGCTCAGCTCAGAGAAGGAAGGCAGGTTGGCCTGGAGGGTCTTGGGGATCGAGGTGGTCCGCGGATAGGAGGCCCCAGAGGCCGAGCCTGGCGGCGGCGTCCACACAACCAAGGGAAGCTGTGTGTCACACAAGCAGCTCCACATGACCGTCTCTCTGCTCCCCTAGGCCCCTGGGGAAAGCTCAATGGAAGGGGAGGACACAGATGTTCACTGAGGTCTCCTGTCAACTTCTCAGGAGACGGACGTGCTGCAGCGGTGAGGGCAGAGAACACGCCCTCCCTGCGTGCCCACCAGAGGTCAGGGGCTTTACCACAGTAACTGACTTAATCCTTGCCTGGGCCCTCTGAGATGGAGTATGAAGGCACTTACATAACAGATAAGGAATAGAGGCTCAGAGAGGTCAAGTCACTCGCAAAGGGTTGCACAGCTGGTAAAGCAGTGGGGCCAGGAGATCAGCACCCCCAGAGACCTGGGTGTTAGGAACTGTGAGGACTCACCTGGCGGACGAGGGCCAGCTGCAGGGAGACATAGAGGATGACCTGGGGGTCACCGGGCGCCAGCTGTTGGGCTCTGTATAGGGAAGGGGAGCAGTGAATCAGCCATCAAGGGTTGACAACCAGCGTGATGAGGGCCTCCAGTATGCCAGTCCTATGCTGGGCGCTTTTAGCAGGGCCAAATGCTGGAGATTTTGCCCAGCCCCACCATGGAGGGTACCCCGTGGGAGATGATGGCTGGGGCAGAAAGCCTAGGGGCAGCCCAGGCTGGGGTGGTGCATGCCAAGAGGTTGGCTCTGGCTGAGGTGGGGGACACCTGGGAGAGCAGGACTAGGGGGCGAGGGAAGCCCCTCTCCCCCGGGCAGTTGTTGGCCTGGCTGGGGCCTGTACAGAGCCTGCAGCCTGCCCTCTCCACGTGGGACAGTGAAGACCTCCGGAGGATGCAGGGGCTGGATGGCCTCTCTGGGCCAGAAGCCTTGGCAGTGAAGAGCCGGTGGAGGAAAGAAGGAACTATCCCCTGATCCTGGAGCTCAGAGGGAGTTGGCCAGGATGGGACTCTTCTTCCTCCCTGGGTTTAAGAACAACCTGCCCCAGAGGGGAGTTGGATGTTCCAAGGAAGCTGGCACAAGGAGTCTGGGGCAGGCCCCGACCCAGCGCCTGCCATCTGTGCTCAGAGGGAAGAGCCCCACAATGGCCAGAGGAAGGAGGGAGAGGAATGCCCAGGAAGGGCCAGGCTGCGGTGGAGAGGAACTCACAGGAGGGGCCTGGGCGAAGGGCTTCTCTGCCTCTCCCCACCCCCAAACCTAACGCTCCCTCCCAGACTCTGGGCTCCCAGGAAAGCTCTCTGAGGGCTGGGGGAGGGAGCCTCACAGCTCTCAGGCTGGGGAGGGGCTGGGAGGAGGCAAATCCCCTTTTTGAGCCCCTACTACTTGTAGATTACTGTGCAAAGTGCTTTCCTGCTTTATCTCATGTCCCCTGAACTCGGAAGCAGGAGAGCTGAGCCTGGGGGCAGCTCCCCCAGTACAGAAATGCTCAACCAACCACCCAACCCCAAAGGCCTGTCCCCGATTCCTGTGTGAACTCTCGGAGCCTCAGTTTGCTGGTCAACAAAATGGAGACAGAAACCTCCACTCTGTCACACCAGAGGGTCCCCGGAGAGGGCATGAGAAGCCACCTCACGCAACGCTGCCCTCCGGCGTCCTCACCTCTCCAGCGTCTGCAGTGCTTTCCGGTGCAGCTCATCTTGCTTGGATTTCAGAGTCGCTGCAGGAGACAGGACAGAGACAGAGCCGTGAGGGGCTGCTGGAGGGGGCCAGCCCAGCCCTGCCCCACCTGGGGCATGGAGCTTTGCGGGGAGAGGCCCCACCAGGACCCTGTCTGGCAAATGCTCCAGACTGGCGCCCTGGTTACCGGGGGAAGGGGTGCAGGTGTCCCCCTGGCCCCAGCCTCCTGGCATGCACACTCCTTGGCACAACAGGTCCTTCTTACCCCTTTGCCTTCCTTGCCGCATGGACCACCTTGATCCTTCCAAAGGCCCGAGCTTCTGGAGAAAAATTACACCTCTGTCCTGGCATGTGCCTCCCTAGGCTTCCTTACTCATGAGGCTTCTTCTTTTCTAACCATTTTAACAAATTTCAAGTGGACGACTCAGTGGCATTAAGTACATTCACCGTGTCTTACAACCATCACCACCATCCATCCCCAGAATATCTTATCATCCCTAACAGTGTCTGCACCCACTGGACACAACCTCCTCTTCTGCGGGCCCACCAGAACCCTCTATTGCACTTTGACCAGGAGGTTTCTTGCTTTAACCCAAACCAGACACCTCCCTGGTAAATTAAATCAGCTTTAAATGCAGTAGGACAGGCGTTTGAGGCCTCAGCTACACACTGAACCCCCTGAGAAGCTTGAAAATGACGGTCACAGGCTCCAGCCAGACTAGGTCAGGATGCCGCTGGCAGCACCAGGCATGGATAGATGTCAGGGGTCCCAAGCTCATAGAGCAGCCCTGCTTCTAGAGAATGAAAGGCACACGGGGGGTCTTTGGACTCTGACCAAGGGACTGATGACTCCCTCACTTGACCAGTGTGTGGGGACCCCAGGGTTCCCTATCAGAGCCTCACTGACACCTCGAAGTGACCACTGTCACTCAAGAACAAAGAGCTGGCACTGCACCAGGATCTCACCCTTCCTCCTCCCTTCCTTGTGCAAGTACCAGCTGTTCCTGCCTCTCGCTGTGTGGGCATCTGAAGCCTGCTTCCAGGACGCCGCTTCTGGCATTAGGGGAGTGCGGGGAGCTGATGACTGTACTGGGTTTGGCCTGGGTGGGGACCTATCGCTCCCTTTCCCTCAGGCTGCAAGGATACAGAAGCAGGTGGAGACGGTGGGGTTGGGGCGGGAATGCAGGCTCCAGGTGGCAGGAGGGGAACCTAGGCACCGAGCTCAAGTCAAGTATTTAGTAAATGCTTGCTGTGTACGCAGCTCTGTGCCATGCATTGGGGGGATTTAAAAGACCCCAAAAGATGGCAGAGGTGCTGCAGGTAAACGTGGACCAGAACGAATATACTGTGGGCTCAGGGCTGGTGGCACAAATACCACAGGATTTCCAGGGGCAGAGATCAGATGGGGCTGGGCCTTGAAAGGAGAAAGAATCGGGTTCATGAAGAGGGCGTATCTGAGGCTGGCGAAGTTGCAGCAAAAGCAGAAATGAACTGGGGTGTGTGTGTCCGCACACACTCGTGCACATCAGTGTGTGAGTGTCTGAGTCTGCACATGTGTGTGTTTTTGTGTACGTGTGCACACCCATCCTAGAAGAGTCAGTGGAGGTGTGTTGTGGGGTGGACACTGATGGGACGAGAGGCCTGGGAGGCCATTAGGAGGCCCAAGTCACCCCAAGCAGAGGTTCCCGGGTCCCGACACTCACCGTCGGTGGCCTGCAGGCTGTAGGTTAGACCCAGTGCCAGGTAGCCCTTGGAGAGGAAGTCCCCGGCTTCTTCCCCAAGATGGATAACCATCATGGCAAAGCGCTCTGCCTCCTCCAGCTGCAAAGAAGAGGCAAAGGTCACCGGGGAGGGCAGCTATTCAGAGGCACCCAGCTTGGGACCCTCGGAACTGCAATTCCTCACACCCGACCAGAGAGGCCCAGGTACTTTTCAGAGGCCACCCAGCCACTGAATGGAAAGATAGGTGTTTCCTCCACCTGCGACAACCTGGACCTTTTCCCCCAGCCAGGGGCCTGTGTTCCAGGTCATGGGATACTACCTTTCACAGGGAAAGTCTGCATTGCTCCAGAGACCCCAGCTCCCCACAGCTGCTCTGAGAGCCTGGACCATCTGTGGCAGCCTCTTTCCTCACGTGGCCCCCGTGTCTGTCCCTGCCCTGCTCATCAGCAGAGACAGGGGGGCTGGGAGCAGGCGGTGGTAGGGGGGTCAGGCAGGGCTCGGGGACCAGGCCCTGGGATAGCCCACCCTGCTGAGCAGGCAGGCCGCCACGCCTTCTCCGGCTGTGAGCTTGCTACCCGACACCAGGCGCTCTAACTTTTCAGGGGAAAAAGGCCTGGGGTTGTTTTTGTCCTGGGAGCAGGAGGGACTGTTCCCGTTGGAAAGGGACCAATTGGCGCAGGTCATGTGTACACACATCACACACCACATGTGACAGGGACAGAGGGGCAGACAAGGCGGCCCTCACGAGCCCTTGGGGGCACCCACAGAGCAGGCAGGCCAGCCGCGAGGCAGGGCACAGATGGGGGCCTCCGGTGGGCCACTCGCAGGCCTCCCAGAGGCCCCCTCCCTTCACCCATCCCTGGCATGTCATCTGCCCACATGTCTGGTACCGCCCTCAGCAAGGAGATTCATACTCACAGCCCCACTGCCTCCCAGAGGTCAGGGTCCCTTGTGGGGGGCTCCCCTGCACCACCCAGAGGGGCCCACAAAGGTAAGCCGGGTTCTGACACCCCAGCCAGTGTGCCTGTCCCTGCCCGGGTCCACCCCACTCGGCAGGAGAGGGACAGCTCTGCGCATCTTGCCATCTGACTGCAGACCACAGCTGGGGGCACTGGGAGGCTCTCCTTCCCTGGAGTTTTAGGGGAGCCTGAGAGACAGGCCATTAGCTGTGGAGAGGCGAGCTGGGCTGAGCCCACCTTGAGGGCACAGCTGTGGGGAGCTAGGTGCGAGAGAAGGCTGATGGAGCAGAGAACCCACGGAACAGAGGGGTTAAAAACTCCCGAAGTACAAGAGAGATAGAGTGGGTGAGCTGAGAGCCCAGAGAGCGATGTGGGGGCTGGCTCCCAGTAGCCTGGCCGCGAGCCCTGACAAATGCTGACAAGGGCAGCTCTCTGTGCCCCATGTGGTCGAGCTCAAGCCACTGACCTGGGCAGTGGACTGCCTTCAGGTTGGCAGACTGGTCACTGAAAGGACACGGAAGCTGAGAGCTGGGCCTATAACACCCTCAGGCCTGAGGTCTTGGGGTTCAGGGGAGGCAGGCAGCTTAGGAAACATCACGGCTGCCTGCTGCCCAGTCTCGATTGCCAGGAGGACTGAGGGCAGTGGATGCAGAGATCTGTCTCCTGGAGCACATGGCCCAGCAGGACGCAGGAGAGCTTCGGGGCCTGAAGGGAGAGCCAGGCTGAGCACCGGGCAAGCCCCCCAACATCCCTGGAGAAGGGAATGGCAACCCACTCCAGTCTTCTTGCCTGGAGAATCCCACGGACAGAGGCGCCTGGTGGGCTACAGTCCATGGGGTCGCAGAGTCAGATGACTGAGCAACTATCACTCACTCAAGCCCCCCGACACAGGCTTGGCCCCTGATAGATATGGGACCTCGGGCAAGTCACCTCCTCTCCTTTCTGTGCCCCACGGTCCTCATCTGCAAAATGAGCTAGGACCAACCCCTTCCCAACTCTTAACTGCTCCTCCCTACAAATCTCCGAGGGGGCTTCTGCAGCACTAGGCTCCATGCTGGGCTGAGCAGGGGAGGTGCAAAGTCACAGGCACAGGATGTTTAGATGAAACACACAAGGATCTCTAAGGAGGGAGGACCCCATGGGGCAGGGTGGCTCTTAATTAAGGCTCCATTGTGTGGTGCTGGCCTGGGGCCATGGAAAATCCAAGAGGGGAAAACTGCCTGGCTGGGGTTGTCCTAGGACGCCTCGTGGCAGAGGGGACAGAAAGCACCAAGGGAAGGGTTAAGTGAGCAAACAGCATCTTGCCTCCTCTTAAATATGCCCAATGCTGGTGCGGTTTGTCCCCTACACTGTCCTCAGGCATCACTATGCCCCATTCAAATGGGAGCGAGCTTTTTTATAAATCACCAAGTGAAAGTGAAAGTCGCTTAATTGTGTCCAACTCTTTGCGATCCCACAGACTGTACAGTCCGTGGAATTCTCCAGGCCAGAATCCTGGAGTGGGTAGCCTTTCCCGTCTCCAGGGGATCTTCCCAACCCAGGGATCGAATCCAGGTCTCCTGCATACAAATTATAAATAGAACTCGGAAACCTCCTGCACTCCATGTATATACACTCTTCTCATGGCCATGTCCTTCTCCTAGGCAAATGCCAACTTCTATCTCCTGCAACCCACGCAGAGAGGGTGCCAGGAGTGAAGCTCAGCAATTACTGGCATACAGGGAAAAGTTACTCTGCAATTCATGTATATCACATTCTGGATTAACAGGGCTCACCAGCCTTTAGTTTCAAAAAGTGACAACATACATCCTTAGTTTTCCAACTTGTGGTCCACTCTAACTCCAGGTTAGTAGCCATCCTTGGCCAGTACTTGCCAGCCTTGCCCACATAGTTTAAAATGGTCTCTGAGCATGGTGTCAGCATTTGTCTCAAATCAAACCCACAAGGCTTCAGTGTACCACTTTCTCACGTGGCCGACAGCACTTTTGGTCTCTATTACCTACCACAAAAGTTTTTTGCGTGTGGAGTCAAAGCGATGATTATCAATGAAGAGAAATACTAGTGATTTTATTAAATATGATAATATACAGTATTAATATATTTATTCATGGGTACTTTAACTAGCCAAAGGGGAAAATGCTGTCGTATTAAAAATCAACAAAATCCCCAAATATAGATGTATTTTAAATATAAAATAAAATATATAATGCACAATTCCCCTTCATCTAAGACAGGAGTGGGAATCCTAAAACCCTTGAGAATATGGTTTTCCCACCTTTGTCTTTAACTGTGATGAACTGAAGTGAAAGTGAAACTCGCTCAGTGGTGTCTGACTCTTTGCGACCCCATGGACTATACAGTCCGTGGAATTCTCCAAGCCAGAATACTGGAGTGGGTAGCCTTTCCCTTCTCCAGCAGATCTTCCTGACCCAGGAACTGAACCAAGGTCTCCTGCATTACAGGCAGATTCTTTACCAACAGGGAAACCCTTAAGTGTGATAAACCCACCCAAATCCAGAATCACTCCACGCCCCTGAGTAAGTTTTCCATGCAAAGATCAGGACAGCCTAGCAGTTAAGAACACAAGCATTAGGGCCAGGCTTCCTGAACGCAAATCCTGGCTTTACTATTTACTGTGTGACCTTAGCCAAGTTGCTGCACTCTGCTGTGACCCATTTCCTTCTTCTGTAACATGGGGATAACAGGTTTGGGTCTCAGAGGATTGTGGGGAGGACTGAATGATGAAATAACGACACAACAAATGCTCAGAGCAATACTTGAAGAAACCTAAACGACTACTATTAGCTGTGATATTAGATCTATAATTAGTTTAATTTCCCAGAATGCTTTTAAGTCCAGAATTTTTTTAAGTGGCAGGTGCCATCTGGGTAAAGTCCGTGTCCCCTATAGATACATGGACTCACTGACAAGTTAGGAAGTGGCATCAAAGACCTTCATGGAACCCAGAGAGGGGACACCGTGGCCTGCCTTCTGTCTCTGGCGTGACCCTTAATCACAGAAAAGGAGTGACTCTACACAAGGACAATAGGGTCTCCTTGCAGTCAGCTGGGCCAGGTCGGTCCACCTCTCTGACCCCTCCCCCAGCACGGTCTCCAACACACATACCTGTAACCACCCACCTAGCCATGTCACAGTACTCACTTCCGCTGTGGGTAATACACTCAGATATTTTCTGTGCTATTCTCCGCCTGTTCCTTTTATAAAAGGGTTCTATTTCACAACCCAGTAGTAGGTCTCGATCGATGACGTAAAAAGCAAATTGCTGACTGAGCTGCCCAGAGCCTGCCCATGTACAACCACCCAGCCATCTGATACCTCACCTGCCCTTCCCAATCCCCACGTGCCTCCTCCTGTGGCCTCCGCAGTGAACAGCTAATGGCTCCAGAGTTGCGGCCCCTGCTTCAGTAAGATCTGCTCAGGGAACAGCACTGCGCCCTCCTTGCTCATCAAAATACTGCTAGGGTGAGGGGTTTCCAAAGCTTTCAACCATTCTCCTGCACTGCTTTGAAAAAAAAAAATTGTTTTTGGCTGCATGGGGTCTTTGTTGCTTCAAGAGGGCTTCTCATTGCGGTGGCTTCTCTTGTGGAACACAGGCTCTAGAGCGCTGTCACAATAGCTGTGCGCATGGGCTTATCTGCTCTGTGGCACGTGGGATCTTCCCAGACCAGGGATTAAACTCCTGTCCCCTGCATTGGCAGCCGGAATCTTAACCACCAGACCACCAGGGAAGTCCCCCTGCACTGCTTTTTAACACCTCTTTTAGCTGTAACTCTGCCATGAAACCCAGGAGGAGATCCCCCCCATCCTCCCTTGCAATTCCAGAGCAGCTGGGTGCCCACTGGAGTGTCACAGCACAGTGGCCAGCTGACAGAAGGGTTTTTCACAGCTGAGGCTCAGAGGTACAGGGCAGTTAGGAGACCCATCTGAGCTCACCCCGCTAGTAAGTGGGAGAACTTTTTCTGAGTTTTCAACCCAGTTCTTCTGAGTCTATCTAGGTCTTTCAGAGCGGCTCGATTCATGCCTGCCTTCTGTGGGTCTTCACTTTTCTCCTCTGTGACGCTTTGGGGAAAAGGATGTAAGGAAGGATGTAGCATTTTGATACTTTGCTTTCACTGTCTGTAAGTAAGAAAAGTGTTCCCCTGCTTTTCCAAGTTCTTGCCTATCTCCAGTTCTCCTAATTTGGTCCCCACACAGTCAGGCTCCCGGCTTGTACACTCCGCCCCTGCTTGGGCTGCCTGGCTCATCTCGCAGGCACCAAACTGGTTGTACCCCTTCCTCCTGCCCAGAGGAACCAGAGAAAGGTCATTTCTGAGCCCACAAAGTTCTGTTTAAACAGCATCTCCCGTTTGTCGTTAGTCGCTTCCCACAGGGCCCAGGACCTGTTGTCATCTGCTCTCCCCCAAAACACACTTTTTCTTCCTGGAAGGAACAGGTACTCTTCCTCATCTCCACAAACTCCAGGCAGGACAGCTCGCATTCTTTCTGGACTCCAAAACACTTAATCCATCTTCCTGGCCCTCCTACCCCTCAATCTCAAAAAACAAAGGCAAAAGCACAAAGGCGAGGCTGCTAGTTTGAAGGGGCCATCACAGGGATGGTTACCATTGACCAGGCACCTTGCATGTGCTGAGCAGGGACACTGCTCAGCTCTGGGGGTCACAGCCACCCTGCAAGGGTAGATGCAACTATTTCCAGGTTACTGACAAGGCACCGGGCACACAGCTACTAAGTGGGAGGCCAGGGATTCGAACCCTATCCTCTCAGCCTCCAAAGCCTGCACTCTTTCCACTACCCCATCCACCCCCTTAGGGGAAGAGGCTGAGCCTTTTTAAAAAACAAGCATGGCTTGCTTTTCCATTCCACAACCTCCTCTCCGTCCATGTGTGACACGCACACACACACCCATCCCCCAGCCGCCTAGAAAGGTTTTAATCTTTTAAATTAAATGACTCTGAACTAATTTTGTTTGCAGGGATAGGAAAAAATATTTATAGTTCCTCTTTCTCCTGCCTCAAATAACAGGCCGGGGACCCTGGCAAGACATTGCCACGCTGAGGCAGGAGGCTGCCCCACTGCTCTCACCAGGTCAGAACCTGGACACGACACCCTCCTCCACTCAGAATAAATGGTGGGATCAGGGCTCTCAACCCTGGGTCATCACAGGTCTCTCTGCGCAGGCCCCTCCCCACCCACTCTCACTTGGGCAATCTTGCTCTCAGACCCAGCCCAGAGCATCCCACACTGGCCCTGGGCACAGGGACATTAGCTCCAGGCATAAGGACAGGACACGGGGATGGCAGGCGCTCCACCTCTGGGCACATGGCCACCTAGTCCGCTTCCACCCAGCACAACTCATTTTTCCAAGTCCCAGTTTCAGCCTCCCTTCCTGCAACCTGGGCCAAACTGTCCACCCCCAGATCTCCATCCCCTGCTCATGGGGCTTGGCTGGGTAATGGCTGGGCCTGCTGGGGGCTGACGTGAGTCAGAAGGGACATGAAGGCAAGAGACGGAGGTGACGTCAGACGCCTTTCAGGATCTGTGCTTGCCACCAGCACCACCACCCCTCTGCCTGCCTGTCAGACCCATTCTTCCTGCTCATAGCCTTGAGGACAGAGCGTGGGCCGCCCTTCCCCTGGCCTCCTAGGAGAACGGGCTGCCCCTGGCCACCCACAGCCTGCTCTCGGGCCAGCACCAAGCCAGGGAGCAGGGAGGCCCGTGAACCAAAGGTAGACTTCCCACACCTGTTCCTCCCGGCCGGCTGGGGCCAAAGTCAATCTATATTTCTGAACACCTACTGCGTGCAGGGTTCTTTGTGGGGGCAAAGGGCTGAGGATATGAGACACAGTATGTGAAGAAGCTTCCTGTCTAGATGGAAAGGTAAGTGCCATACAAGACAGAATTCCTTGCCAAGTAGGATCCATCCCATCAGCACCCAGCATCAACTCTGGGCCACAGTTTCAAGTAAGAGGAGAGAGAGTTCCTGCCTCCAAGAAACACATGCAACAGGAAATACAATGTATCATGCTACGTGTCCAAGGCAGGTATAAATGGGGCTTTAGGGAAGGTAAGAGAACATGAGGTTCCAGAGCAAGGAAGGCTGCCAGGAGCCCACCCCAGCCCTACAACAGGATCGCGCTCTAGCCTGGACCTGATTTAAACCTTAGTTCAAACCAGCCCCCAAACCCAAATATGTTTCTCAGCCGAGGTTAAATGGCTCACTGTCCTCCCTAATTCGGATGTCAAGTCTGAATGCTGAAGTTTCCTTTTGGGCTTTTCTATTTATGTTGTCATTGATTACTTTGCTCCCAACTCATCTGATTTCAATTTGGACTGATTGGATCCTAATTTTATTACCATGTAATCTGAATGCACATAATTACTGTCATTATACTGCTGAGGGAAACAGCTCCTCCGCGTCGGGAAGACCTAAATTTAGGGCTTCCTGGCAAGGGCGGCACTGCCTGGGTGGACCCACAGCCGCCTCAGAGCCGGCAGCTCCTGGGAGCACAGATGCCCTCCCCACCCACCCTTGCTGAGGTGGGTATTTGGGTGTCGTCCTAGGGATGCACTTGAGGCCCCTCCCTGGAGCCTTGGGAACACACAGGGCTGTGAGATAGTGGTCAGCGAGCCCACCCTCTGCATCCTCTGGCTCACACGACCACCCGCCGCTGCTGTGCTCAGCCTGGCTCCTCACTCTGCTGGCACTCACACACCACCCAGAGGGGACCCTATCCTCTAGGGTGGAAGATGCCAACAGTCTCCCGAAAAACACTTGGGGGACAGGCAATTTTCCCCGTAACCATGAGGCTGAGGAAAGCAAGCTGTGATGGAAGGGACCACCTCTGAGCCCCATCCAAGGCCCCCTCCTCCTGGAGGCCTCCCTGACCTGTCCAACCCTCTCCTGCCTCTACATCATTTACACCACACGACAGTGAAACTCTTACCCCCTCATCACGCTGCCTCCTCCAAATGCTGAGAGCCTGCTGCAGATCAGTCTTACGGGACACCATAAAGCCTGGGGCCAAAAGGCATGCTTTCTCCTCCCTGATCTCACAGTCGGGCGGGGCCAAGGCAGGGCCATACTCGACATCATACATGGGGACCCGAGGACCAGGGAATAGATGGAAAGGTCCTGCTCCCCGGCCTCCCACCCCCAATCCAAGGGAGCAGTCCCTGCAGCAGAGCCAGGATGAGGCCCACTGGGTGGCGAGGCAGGAGCCCCTCTGAGAGGGTCCTCAGCATCCTTAGCGGGAAGGGTCAGAACGCAAAATCTCCCTCCCCAGAGCTGGAGGGGTTGGAGAGGCTGCTAACTCTGAAGTACCTGCCGGAGGCACCTGGAACCTAGCCCCTGTTGCCCTGGAACAAGCTGGGCACCCAACAGCAAGGGCAGGCGGGGGGTGTCAGGACATCAGGAAGGGGAGGGACATGTATGGGAGAAGCTCCCCCTTGGGGAGACACTGGGCCAATGAAGGAACTAGGCTCATGGAGCTTCAAGAGAGATGTAGGTGGGGCTGAAAGCCAACACGTGGGAGAGACGCTGCACTGTTCTAGTTGCTGAAAAGGGCGGAAACAGGACGGCCTGGACGTAGGAGGCTGATGTGGGCTTGTGGAAGCCAGGAACGTGGGCAAAGGCACTCCCAGTGAGAGCAGACAGCTGGGCAGAGGTGCCACTGCAAGATACCCCAGGCCGAGAGCAGCAGCCAGGGAGCCAGGGCGAGGGGAGCAGCAGGCGAGGCCTGGCGCTCTGGGTTCCTGGGCCAGGGCTCCTTCCCCACTCCCCCTGCTGACCTCCTAGCGGGAAAGAAGCTGTGGACAGAGGGCGAACGCTGAGCTCATCTTCAGTTCAGCCGCCTCAGCAGAGACTGCTAAGCAGGCAGCTGAGTATAACGCAGGGCCTGGGTGCTGGAGTCCCAAGGGAAGGAGGTAGCTGACAGAGGGACCACCCTCCCATCCAGCCCAGGGCTGCTTCTGACGCGGAACGGCGGGCTAGCCCAGGTAACTTCAAGGTCTTGCTCACTTCCCCTATGCTGGGCAGGTGGGTGGCACCCTGTCTTCTGACCCCACATTTGGCTCCCTGGAGACAGTCAAGGCTGAAGCACAAACCTGACACCATCCCGAGTTGGGGGATGAAGGCTGGAGTTTTCAGAAGTCATTCACCACTCCCCCACCCCTTCCACACACAGCAAGATGCACCCACCTGCCCCCACCCTCCTGCAGGAAGCTGCCAGGACCTGGGCCCTGCCACCGGGATCACTCACCCAATGCAGGGACCCGATGCAGACCTTGGCGGCCATCAGGGGCACGGTGGGGTCTGAGGGCCGCAGCTTCATGCACTCCCGCAGCAGTGACACAGCGTAGGATGACTGCAGGAAAAAGGGCGGCGACACGGTCACTCACAGCCCTGGGTTGCAGCAGACTGGGTGTTTCATGCCTTCAGCGGGGGCACCTCCCAAATGGCCAGTCCCTGCCCTGCACCCCTTTCCACCCAAGCCAGGAAGAGGCCCACTGGAAGGAGTCCAGGCGGCCGTGGCAGGCAAGTCCCCCCCGGTCTGTCTCCTCATCTGGAAAATGGAGGCTGTGACCTTTGCCAGAGGTGAGGTAACAAGAACGAAGGAGAAAAAATAGGGAAACTCTTCAAAAGGAATCACATGTGAACCACAGGAATTTTAGAGGTAGAAGGAAACTCTCTCAAATCTCTGAGTTCAAAACTCTGTTTACAGTGATAAGAAGCGGACAAATTCACATGGGGACTGGCGGGAGCAAAAAGGCTGTCAGAGAAGCAGCAGGAAAGTAGCCACGGAGACGGGGCCACAGACATGCTGAGGATGGCCAAGTGCGGAGGTTCCGCAAAACCCAGCCCACAGGCCAAATGTGGCCCTCTGCCTGCTTCTGCAAATAAAGTTTTATTGGAACTCGGCCACACCCATTCAGATGAGTATTGCCTACAGCTGCTCTCATGATGCAAAGGCAGAGTGGAATAGTTCCCATGAAGATTGTTTGACCTACAAAGTCAACAATGTTTATACTCTCTGACCCTTTATAGAAAGTCTGCTGACCTCTGTTCTAAGTGCTTTATAAATATGAAGTCATTTATTTTTCACAACTCTCTTAGGAGGTAGGTTGCTATTGAAACCGTGTAACTCAGATTGGGACTTGAACCTATGGTCTTTTAACTGAGATCACACACCTGGTCTCAGGACTTAATGCAGCTCAGGTTCTTGATGTCTCATCACAGAAAGAATTCAGTGACAGAAACAAAGTGATAGGTAAGAAGTCGATTTATTTAGGGAGAGACACACTTCACAGACAAGAGTGTGGGTCAGAAGAGAGAGCGCCCTTGAAATATGGCACGGTTAGCTTTTAACGGGCTGGCTAACTCTATAGGCCAATGAGTGGGAGGATTATTTCAACTATTTCGTCACATCCTAAAGGCTGTCCCTGCCCCCTTCCCTCCTGTTTCACTCTGTCCCTATTTACAGATGAGGAAACTGAAATGCAGAGAAGTGGTGTGTTTGAAGCCACACTGACTATAAATGGCTAAGCTGGGGTTTGAAGAGTTTGACTTTAAGCTTGTAACCACTGCCCTATCCTGCCTACCCTGGCCAGAGAGGAGGCTTTCGTCTCCCTCCTATACACACACGTGCATGAACGTGTGCACATGTGTGTATCTATAATTCCCACAGCTGGGCCCTATTGTTGGCCCAGCTCGCCACCATTAGCTGATGGCTAATCCACCAGCTTCATCCTCCCTGGCTACTCCAGAGGCCCCGTGAGGGGACTCTGGAAGGTTCTCTGTCCACAGCACAGTATGGAGACTAGTGGACGCAGACCTGGGGCCCCACTGGTCTGTGTCCACCCTGGACCCCTGCCTTTCTCTACCCGCCTTTCCTTTCCCTGCGGAGAAAGGAGAGCTTTTTTCAGCCCAGACGTGACAGACTTCCTGGGCTCTGGGCTCAGGCTTATTAGGCCAACATCAGGTGTCTGAAACTCGGTCTGCTCCGTGTCAAGCGCGGACTAGGAGTTGTGGGGTCCCTGCTGGATAGGGTAATAGACCCAGAGAAAGGCTGGGTGGAGAGAACAAAGCCCCGCCCCACTGCTCTCTCAGGAAAGAAGAGGGTAAGAGACCAAGAGGGTGTTAGCATACGACCAGCTGGGAGACTGGGGGCCTGCGGGGCAGCGGGGTACTCGGTGTGGGCTGGGGCGAGAGAGGCCAGCGAAGGGCTGGCAGGAGGTGCCAGGCCATCCACCTCTCCCGAGACCCTCTCCTCTGAAGGCTGCTCCCAGCCCCTCACTGTGGCCCCCTCTGCCTCACCCCGCAGCAAGCCTTGCCCTTTCCCTGGGTGCTGACCTCAGCATCTCTGAAACACAGACTTCTCTAACCCCGACCCTCCATGTCCCCCCCAACCCGGACCAGGAAACACTGCTATTTAAGGAGCCATCTGAGGACTCCTCAGTCAGAGCTGCAGGCTCTTTTTTTTCTTTCTTTTTTTGTCATGCTGGTTACCTAGCAACGCAGCCGCTGAGGAGACCAAAAGAAGCGACCTAAATCATGCCAGCGAACTCGTCCTCTCTTCCTGCAGGTGGAGGTGCCAGATATACTCATATCCGCCTGGCCTCACCTTCTGCACACAACCGCAGGGACAGAACCTGGATTCCCACCCTAGGCTCCTGGCAAAGGACAAGGTCTGGCCATTCTTCGCAGGGCCGCCTGGGCCAACCCGGCAGGCTGAGCCGGTGTGCAGGGCTCCTGAGGGGCGGGGACGGAGAGCCTGCGTCCAGAGCAGTCTCCAGCTGCACTAACCCAGCTGTAGGTGTGACCCAGCCTGTGGGGCCTCATGCACAAGACACTCGCTGATCACTCCAACCTCCTGCCTATAAGCCCATTCTTGTGTCTACCTTGCTGTTCTGGGAAGGAGCGAGGCCGTGGGTGACATCAGCTCCCCAGATTCTAGGGTGTACCAGGCTGCATCTGAACCTCTATGAGCTCTTTTCAGTAAGGGGGTTGAAGACCCCGTAATTCCCAGGTTAGTGTGACACTTTCCTCTGAAATGGGGGCCTTCCAGGAGCACCCCCAGAAATTAAAGCTAACTTCTGAGAGCAGTGCATTCTTCTGAGGAGGGGTCCTCAGCTTTCCTCAGCATCTCAAAGTGGTCCACGACCCACAGAAGGGTGGAGGCCTAGCCCTGGGCCTCTCCTCCCAGACCATACTCAGACTAGAGGCTCTTTCTCTGTTTCCTCAAGGCATAAAGAAGCTCTCAAATGCCATCGTCAGCTACCTACCCAGGCTCCAGACAAGCCCCAGCCCCCCTTTTTCCTCCCCTGGGCCTCAACCCATCTGTGTTCTGAGCTCCCTCTGACCCTCAACAAGATCCTACTGAACACACGGCCAGGGTACATCATGTCGTGACTTACAGGATGCTCTGTGAGGTGGCCAAGATGATGAGGGAAGGGGAAGAGGTTGGGAAGAAAAACGCTTGGCAAGGTAACAAGGGTGCAGAGAAGGTTCCTGCTTGATTCCTGGCTGTACTTCTCCAGCTCCTTCCCACCTGTCAGAAGAGGCACTTGCTCTTCCCCCTCTCCCCACCAGAACCTGGCGAGCACACCCTCCTTTCAGTGGGGGGGTGGGGGGTGCCGGCAAGCCCAGGAGGACCCTCCTTGGAGACGACTGCAGGGCTAGAAGAGCAGGTGGCACAAATGGCTTGGGGGTGGCAGGGGAGGAATTCCCTCAGCCCCACAAATGGGCTCTGGGTGTTTATAGCTCTTGGAACGATCTGTGAGCTCAGGCCTCCTTACTTCCTGCATTCGTAGCATCCTCAGCCCCAACACCCTCAGCACCCAGCTCCGGAAAGGTTTTCCTTTCATGTCACTGCTGAGAATAGAGGCTTATGTAAGTGTGATTCTCATGGGAGGGAAAACCAGTGGGTGCAGGGACAGGGTTGGTGAGAGGGCGGTGGAGGGCAAACACAGCTCCGTAGACCTGGATAAGGTCAGCCCTGCTCCGGGCAGAACTCCTCCTGACCACCCCAGCCACGTCCACCTCGCAGAGCTCCCAACACACTTCCTTGGGAGAAGGGGGGTGCTCTGCTCTGCTCTACCCTTCAACCCCGCCCTCCTAAGGAAGTTCTGGATTTGCAAGAAGGTCCTTCCTGCTGCCACACTCCCGGATGAGAAGAGATGCAGCCCCCAGTGGAACACCGTTCCCCTCGCTGGGAACCACGTCCATGCCTGTCTCAGGCAATCAGACCAGCCAGCTCACAGGCAGAAATGCTGCAACGCCCCAGGCGTGCACATGTATTCAGAGAAAACCATCCACAGATTCACACCTATACACCTGGCCCCGTCGTAACTCACAGATAAGACACCAGGTTCACACAGGGGTCTGTGGGCAACCCTTCGTGCCCCTCATTCCCTGGAGATTAACATCAGTTGTGGGACACTATTTCTGAATCATTGCCCCACCCTCTGCCAGCCTCCGGGAGGGATGAGTGGAGAGTGGCGCCCCCAGCCCCACCTAAGGGGGAGTGTGCAGCCTCCAGCACGCCCTGGGCCTTACCTTCCCGCAGGCTACCATGGACAGGGCCACCTGGTACCAGAGGTGAAATTCTCCGAACGCAAACTTCATGGCTCGCTCCAGGCACTGCGAAGAGGGAATTGGTCAATACTTTCCCTTCAGGGGTCCTCCCTCCCCTGGCCCACCCACATCGTTCCAGGGGAATCACTGCTCAAGCCGCTTCCACTGGAGGCAGCCAGAGCTCATACTTGGTTCCTGTCAGAGAACTCCAGGGGTAGCCTGTCTCTACCACCAGCATGTTGTGTGTCCTTGCCCAAGTTTCTCACCCTCTCTGGCCCTCGGTTCCCACCACCGTATCATGTGAACACCACATAAGGGCGACAGTGAAAAGCGAATGAAATCAGATTTGTGAAAGCGCTTTCAAAATGTAAACATCCGATAAAAATAATAGTTGACAATTCTTCTCACTATTATGCCTGGCACTGTCCTCAGCTTTCTACATGGATGAACTCATTTATTCTTCCCAACAACTCAGTGAGGCAGCTTCTCTAATTACCCCCATTTCACAGATGAAGAAGCTGAGACTTGATTGATTTGCCAGAGTTGCAGGGCCAGTAAGCAACAAACTTACTGACTCTGAAGCTTGTGTACAGAATGATGCCCGAACGCACAGGCTTCCTTCTGCTCTTTGCTACAACCATCAGGAAAAACCATCTGCTCCCTGGCCCTCTGACTGGGGCCACCCCAAGTCAGGGGCTGTCTGTGAGACCTGACAGGAAGCCACAGAGGTGGTTCCAGGTGACAGAGGCAGAGCCAGTGCATGCAGCCAGGATTCACCGTATGCCCCTCAGGCGGGCAGGGGACGGAGGGGATGGCACAGGGCCACACGCAGGCTCCTGCAGAGCTCAGTGGCCTGGGTCTCCCACGCTGACTCAACACAGCCCCTCGCACCTGGGCAGAACCACCTGGCCGGGCCTCGCCCTCCTCACTGGCGAACTTAAGAGACCACTTATTTCCTGATACTAAAGATGGGATCTTCTGGAAGCGCCTCCCGTGGTGCCTTGGTGTAAGCAAGAGCTCGGCAGGTGTCACTGCCCCTCCTCTCCGGAGCCTTCCCAAACACGTGGCCAGAGAATCTGCTGCTGAGCGGGCCACCTAAGCCAAGGGCCCTAGAGCCACCCTTGATCTCAGCCTGGATCTGAAAGCTCAAATATGTGCACACGCCATTCACCCTGGGTGGGGGCGAGGGCAGGAGAGAGGGGCAGCTCTGTGCCCCTGGTCCTCACATCCTGGAGCGGGACCACCCCTTGGGTCCAGCCCATGGAGCGCTGCCCCAGTAGGGTTTGCCCAATACAATGGGGGTGCTCATTCTAGAGGGGGTGGGAGGGGGATCCAGGCTCCCGACCACTCTCAGCTCAGAACCCCTCCGGAAGAGGCAGTCACACAACACCAGCATCACCTCCAGGGGAAACGGAGGGGTGGATAATTATCCTCTCGGGCTTCTCTATACAACACCACGTGCTCTTTCAAAGGAAAAAAACACACAAAAACATTTGAAAAAACAGATACACCCTGCCAGTGAAGGGCAGCCCCTCTCTGCACTGTCTCCCAAGAACACAGCCGGACCCCTTGGTGGTGGCAGGGGAGGGACGGTGGAGGGGGTTGTACCTCGGAGAGCATGACATACTGGCCCCGCCTGCCCAGCGTGATGCTCAGCAGGTCATAGATGGCCGCTGCATTCTGCAGGCTCACCGCCCGGTCCTGCTCCTGCTCTGGTGCCCGGCTCAGCACCACATCCCGAGTGGCCTGTGGGGAGACACGGTTTAGAAAAGAGCGAGAACAGAGAATCAACAGGTGTTTTTCTCTACAGGGCCCCTGCCTCTGAAGCCCAGTGACCTTTACCCTTTTGCTGCTGACTCAGGCCACACTCCTAGAGCCAGCCAGAGCCTTTCCCCACCACCACAACAGCAAGCAAACCCTCCACCTGTAGGCCAGGCTGCGGTGATGGAGCAGTCCTGAGTCCCTGCCCCTGATTTTCAGGGCTTTATTCTGCAAGCTGTCCAACCTACAAGTCGCAAGAACAGTAATGCAACAGCAGTAAACCCAACTGGTAACATGGACCACAGTGGCTTTGACTCTATAACAGTAGCAGTAGCAGTAGTAGTAGTTATGGTGGTCAGTTAACGCAACTTGGACTTTCATCCCTAAATAGGACATTCTTTCTATAACCACAACAGAAATGCCAAATTCAGCAAACGGAACACTGTTCCCTCTATCTTCTAAGAGCAGCTCATATTCAGATCTTGCCTCCTGTCCCACCGATGCCTTCATGGAAGAGCCGTCATGCCAGAATCCAACCCAGGATCATGCTCTGCAGGTGGGCAACCAGGTCTCTTGTGCCTCCTTTCACTGTTAAGAGTCCCGTGGCCCTCCTCCGTCTCCAGGACACTGGCATTGTTGAGGGTACAGGCCAGCTGTCCTCTGGGACAGTCCTTGTGTGTGTGTAATCGCCCACTCACAGGACAACTCTCAGATAACATTGGGAACTGACAAGATTGGGGGGCGGTGGTGTGGCTTGACTCACAGGCCTAGAGTTTGGGCAGAGGCCCCTCCGTGCCCTTTTCCTCTGAAGGTGCCCCCAAGTTCCTCCAATAAGGACCCCATACCTCCTTCCCATCACCCCTGTGTCCGGCCCAGACCCTGTCCCTGACTTCCCACTATAGAACTCTCCTCTGTCCTTCTCAGGAACCTCCCCACAACCCAAGGTCTCTGTGCTTGGCATCTGGCACCCAGGAGTCCAGTAGCTCAGAGTTGCTGGGGGCTGCTCAGGGAGGGGAGAGGCAAGAGAAAACGTGCTTTAGGAGTGGGAGAGTCTGCACAATCTGAAGGGGGCGCTCTGTAAACCCAAGCTTGAAATCCCCCCATCAGGAACTGGGGACCCACCTGTTCTGTGGCCTGTGGTCCCACCCCCTCTTGTACACTCGCATCCTGGGGACAGCACTCAGGAGAAACTAAACAGAGGTCATGGGGATCCTGACAAGGCGGGGGGCAGGCTGGGGATGCTCTGGGCCCCCCGTGTCTCCTCCAATCATAAACACAAACACACACACAAACACACACACTCTCTCTCTCTGAGGGCTGTGCCTGAGCTGAAGCAAAGTTGGGTTCTGGGCAGACGCTCCCAGCGTCCTCCCACCTCTTGCCTCCTCTCCACCAAAGGGGTCCCTTCCCAGCACCCCCTCCCTCTGTAGAAAGGGCTGAACCCCCTTTCGTGAGTCGGGACTCACTCTCCACTACTACCCCACAAAGGACCTCAGACCCAGGGACTTCACCTCTTTGACAGGATAAAAAAGACCTCCTGACCCTTAAAACCCAGATCCTGCTGGTCAGGTTCAAACGAGGTATCCACAGGTGGTGCTCACAACTTCCTTCCATGCAAGACTACTATTGCCTCCTCCAGGGCAGGGGCTGGGGCTCCCAAGGGTGATGGCTACAGAGGCAGAAGTTCAACAGTCTTTGGATTACAGGTTCTGGATGTGTCCCACTGTGCAGGCTTGACGTGGCTTCCCACAGAGGTTTCTAGAAGCCAAAATGCCTATAAGACCCAAGGACGTGACTCACTCATGGGGGCTTGTCAGTAAGGCAGCCCAATGGCCTTGATGGGGCTGCTCCTCCGGGCACAGCAGGTCAGGGCTGCCCACCACCCCGAAGGGCATGGACTGCTCCAGGAGAGGGTGCTGGGGATGGAAGAAGATCCCCAGAAAGGCTGAGCCCCAGTGCCAGCCTGGTAAATAAGAGCCGCTCAGATGCCAAAGGGTTAAGGGAGAGGAGTGGAGAGAGGGAAAGTGCCAGAGAAATCTCCCTCCTTCCCAGTGAAATCCACCCACACAGGCACTAACAGGAAGAGAAGAGATTCTAAGGAGAGCCTTGGCAGCAGCTATTTCACCAAGGAACACAAAACCCACTCTGTGCCCAGCCATGGACCTGCCCACTCCTCCACCTCCAGCAACTCCCCAGCTCTCGGCCACCCAGGGTGGGGGCTGCCGCTATGGTGGGATGGGGCCCGGAGGTTTGGGACTGAGAGGAGGGGAGACCCAGTCCCTGCCCTCAGGGAAGGGCTATGGAAAGGACGCAGCAGCAGTACCCTGTGCCCACAGCGAGTGGACTTGACCTAGAACTCAGCAGGGAGAGGGGGTCCTCATGGAAAGGGGGCAGGGCAGGTGGCCAGCAGGGGCGGCCTTCCTGCAGGATGCATCCAGGATCGAGGACCCAGTCTACTGTAGGGGACGATAAGCAGTAAGCTTTGGCTGGCCTGTCCCTCCAGGAGCACCCTGCCAGACCCCCACTCCACCCCACCCTCCCTTCTGCGGCTGCCAAGAAGCCCTGTGCTGCTGGCCAGCCTCTCTCCACTAGCTCCCAGGTCCTTCCCCGCAGCTCCCTCCCCTCACCAAGGCCCATCTGTGTTCCCCTGGCCATGCGCCTTCTGGCCCCTCAAACTCAGTTTGGGGATCCCTTCCTTCCGCTGCTCTCCCTGACTTGTCTTGCCCACCCCACATCCTCTCCCAACCCTAGGCACACACCCGGGCCCCGCAGGCCCCCCTCGCTCATTGGTTCTCGGGGCAGGAATGCATCTTGCTCATCTCTAGCCTCCCGGCCCCAGCAGAGGCCCGCACACAGCACTCTCAAGTGACATCTGAAACAGAAAGATTCTGGGCCTCACGTGGAAACTTCCTCCTGTTGCCCTAGACCTTGACCTTTAAGAGAACAGTGTCTCCGAATGTGTGTGGCTGGTAGGAGGAAGGCGTGGACTCCTAAGCTCTGGGCAAGCAGTAGGTTAGAAGGACAGGAACGGATGAGGGAACCACGGTAGCACCTCCTCTGTCTGAGGACTCCCTCCCACCCCAACAGGGAGACAGTAGGAAAGGCATCTTCTTAGGGGTCCTCAGGACTTGGCACCTGTGCCCAGAGGGAAGCGTGGGTCCCCAAAGGAAACCCAAAAGCAGAAGTTTGCAAGCGGTTGCTATGGTTTTGAGGCAGGGCTGCGGTTGAAACGCTCCCGGGTTTGCAGGGCAGCTGGGTAGCCTGTGTATGTAACCATGGCAACAGGGTGGGGTGGGGGAGAAACAGAAAAGAAAAAAGGAAGAGACAGTTGGGGGGGGCAGCGGGGTGGGGGGCGCGGCATGCTGGTGACAGGGTAAGAATTCACGTGCAGCTCAGGGGCCAGAGCAGGCCTCCGGGCACAGGGCCTCGACCTTCCGGGGTCTTAAGGTCCCCACCCAGGGTGCCCTAGCTACCCTACTCCCTCCTCCTCCACTGAGCTCACTCCTACAGGCCACAGCTCTGCTCCCAGCTCCATCAGCTGCCTGCCTCACCCTCGGCCCCCTCACATACTTCCCTTCCTCCATTTAAATGTCCTCACAAGGACATCCTCCACGTCAGATGCAGTGACAGTCATGAACTGTGTGGAAACTAAATGTTCTTCTCATCACCCCACTCCTTACTAGTCTGGGATAATGACAGGCTACTCTCCTCTGTTTTCCCCTGCAAAACCTTCAGTCTCCTCCACTTCGGGGGGCGCCCTGCTCTTGTTTAATTCATGCACTTAATCCCAAGCAGGTTCATCACCTGTCCCAGCTCCCGACCTTGGATCTTCTGCTCTGCTGTCCTTCCAAGGGGTAGCCTCCCCAGACCAAGCAGGTCAGAAGAGGAAAAGTCAAAGAAACGTGCTCTCCCCCACCCCTCCATCATCCAGTGTGACCTACAGTGGCCTTTGGACATGCACCCATGAAGCAAACATCACGCCTTAAGAAAACGCCCACAAGGGCATGTCTTCTGCCCCAGATGGACCAGCGGACGGCCACAGGGCATGTCTTCTGCCCCAGATGGACCAGTGGTGTGACACCTAAGGCAGAACGGTTCCTGCTCAAACAGCCACCCCTCGTGTGGGTGCCATGCATTTTAGGAGCTGAATTATCGCTGCCACGATCTCGCACTAACCCGTGGAGGGGCGGGGTGAAAGTGCTGGGGTTCCCGTTACAGACGGGGACCTGTGCGAGGAGCTTCGCTGACTCGTGCGAGGTCTCCAGGAGTTAAGGCTGAGCCTCCGATGGCCGGTCCAGGACAAGCTTCTACTGCCCTGAGTACCTGCAGCCCTGTGGGCTTCTCGGCCAGCCCTGGTCCCCAACCTCTGTTGGCTGCAGGGCCACAGACAGCCCCGACAGCCCCATTTCTCCTCCGATCCTGGACACAAGCAGGGTAAAAGGAAAGGGAACTAACTTGTGGAGTGCTCTGTAAGTATTATCACATAATGCTGACAATGACCATCCCCTATTCTCCTGTCCTTTTTTACTGATGAGAAAACTGAGGTTCAGAGGGACCAAGGAGGATACTCAAGGCATACAGATAGGGGGTTTAGGACCCAGATTAGAACCTAGACATTCTGACTGTATCCCAACTCTTCCCCTGCCTCCAGGTGTCTCAGGAAGTATCTGCCAGCCCAGCCCACACCCTCAGAGGCCCTGGGGTGGCTCTGCTTGGAAAGCACCAAAGCAAAACATGAGGCTGGGCTTCTCAATCAGGTCTCAGGGGCTGCTTCTCAGCAGAGAACAAGCTCCCTGGACCACGTCAGCCCTGTTCTCAGGCACAGCCTCTTGACTAGCCAAGGACCCCACCTAGAGGCCTGCTGTTCAGCCCCCACACCCATCACCCTAGAAAGGAGTCTCCCAGTGGCATTTGTGCCTGTCCCTCCCTGGAGGACACGGTCATGTTCTGCTCGGGCTGTGCTCCCCACCAGCAGACATCATTACCACTGGCTCTCGAGCCGCCAGCCCACAGAACCAAGAAATAACATGTTCTGTGCCACGTGTCATCTACACAGTGATCCTGGCCAGGCCCCTCTCAGCCGCCATGCTCCTGCAGCAGAAACTTTCCTGCCAGCGAGGGTGCGAGGCTCTCCCACCTCCACTGCCTCAAGCATTCTGAGCTGGCAGCAGTAACAGGCCCTTTCCCCTCACAGCCTGCAGCACACAGGGTCTCATGTCCGAGCAAAGCAGGTGCCCGAAGCTGGAACAATCTGTGCTTATCTGCAGAGTTCCAAACGGAATCAAGTCCGGGAAGCACTTTTTAAAACAACAACAACAACAAAAAAAAACGGTATCCTCAAACCGGTTTATCATCCAACCAGACCTGAACCTAAATGTCTTCTAAAATTACTGAGTCAGAACCAGGTATCTGTCAGGCTAAAACGAAAATATGTTGACCACCCACAATGTACCAGGCACCCTGGTGTTCATTTTTGTACTTCATCCACCCAATGGAGAAAGAGACCTTATTAGTCCCATTTTACAGATGAGAAAACAAGAGAATCAAGGAGGTAAGAAACCTGTCCAGGCTACAAAGGCTGTGAGTGGCCAATTCAAGACTCAAATGGCTGACTGCCTGCCATTGGGCATGGACGGCAGTTAGCTGGTTGGCCTCAGGATCCCAGGCCCCAGGGACTTACTCACCCACCCATCCTCTCTCAACCCAAGCCTTTGTGTTCCTTCTGTTCCCAGGAGCCTGACACCAGCAGCTACTTCTCTCCTGGCTGAATGAAACAGGGGCTTGAGGATTTCAGTTTGCTACAACACATTTTCATGCCTGAGATCAAGATTTTAGAAATGACAGAGTCCTATCCCCTCTGGTTACCCAGTGAGAAAATCAGGCTGATTTTGACACATGGGTTTTTCAAAAACCAGAATATGCATTTGAGGTTCAGCAGACTGAGCTAATTCCTTCTGATTGGGGGGCCAGGCCCTCCTCCGAGTCCCTAGATGCATCTTCCACTAGGTAGGAGGACATCTGGGACAAGGGCTGTGATTTAACTTGTCATCATTCTGTCTCCAGTGCTGAGCACGCCTGCCACATCATCGCTGCTCAGACAAGACTGGATGGATGGAGAGTGGGTAGGTGGATGGATCGGTAGGTGGGTGGGCATTTTTAAATGCCCCTTTGGCCCCCCAAATTCAAATCTGAGTACAAAATACAAGTCTCCTTTAGCCAGTTGTAACTCATGTCCTATGTATTTCTATGATAGCATTTGTAAGGTTTCTGTTTACCTCTTGCAAGACAAGGGCTCCTCTATTCATTCTGATCGCACTCAGCCTGCCACAAAAACCATACCTACATTACCAGCCCTGCATTCAGACAGAATACTCCTCTGAGTTCCAGACCACAAAATAGGGACCGAGGAAATCTGCAAACACCCTTTCCTGGAGCAGCTGTGCCGGGGACCTGGAGGTGGAGTGCTGTGATGACTCTAGGGCCGGTTGTGCTGGAATAACTTGCTTTAGCGTAGTGAATCCTGTAGGGATTGGGATAACCCAAGGAGCAGGCAAGGCAGCCATCTGCTTCTAGAAGTTTCTCCCGATCACCTCTAGCCAAACCCAGCCAGCATTAAAGGGAGATGAGGAAAACCCTGCTGGTACATGGAGGCCAGGCTGAGCCTCAGGTGGTCAGTTGAGGGGTCTGAGCAGGAGCCTGGCAGAGGTGCCCACACCTGATGGAGAATGTGACCTGTGGGGAAGGAGGGGGTACCTCTAGGGCAGGTGAGAAGTCAGGGGTGGTCTGGCCACTCTGGGAAACCACTCAGAGCCACAGTGGCCAGGTCCTGATCTCCAGGTGGGAAACCCTCAGATGAGACATCAAAACTACTTTCATCACCAACACCCTCCTCCAGGTGTCTGAAGCTTCTAGATGCATGACAGGCTGGGTGTGAGGAGGAGGAAGTCAGCCAGCCTCGAAGGGGGCCTCCTCTCAGCCACAATGCATCAGCGTCTGAGCACGCCCTCTGCTGCGCGTGCCTCAGGGAATTCCCACCACATCCCCACCAAGTCGCCCATGCAGGCCAGTCAGCCACATACCCCCCTCAAAAGGGAGAGAGCTGCTGGGAGGGAAACCACCTTGGCTCCAAGTGTGGGTCACGTTTTAATAAAACGCTGTTCTCTACTTGGAGTGGTGGGGGGGAATCGCTTTAAAGGAAAGGCATCTGGATTCTGGTTCTGGGCACCCAGATCAAGCAACGGCCATAGGAAATCCTCTGTGGAGACAGAGTCCAGCCTCTATCCCTGCCAGGGAGATAAACGCTGACCATTCTCACAGACAGCCAAGGCCCTGTTTACAAAGCCCTCCCCAAGCCCTGTCTCACTTGATTTTCAGTTATCCCCCTGGCTCTTTTACAGAGGAGAAAACCAAGTCAGTGAATCACAGATGTGATCTGAATCATGGCTGGGAGGATTATTAGTATGTGACCTTGACCAAAGCTGTGGTTTTTCCAGTAGTCATGTATGGATGTGAGAGCTGGACCATAAAGAAGACTGAGTGCCAAAGAATTAATGCTTTCATATTGTGGTGCTAGAGAAGACTCTTGAGAGTCCGGGGATTGAAAGGAGATCAAACCAGTCAATCCTAAAGGACATCAACCCTGAATATTCACTGGAAGGACTCATGCTGAAGCTGAAGCTTCGATACTTTGGCCAGCTGATGCGAAGAACTGACTCACTGGAAAAGACCCTGATGCTGGGAAAGACTGAAGGCAAAGGAGAAGTGGGTGGCAGAAGATGAGATGGTTCAATAGCATCACTGACTCAGTGGACATGAATTTGAGCAAACTCTCGGAGATAGTGAAGGACAGAGGAGCCTGGTGTGCTACATTCCATGGGGTGCCAAAGAGTCAGACACAACTTAACAACTGAACAACAAATGACCTTGACCAAGACACATACCTGTCCTGGACCTTACTTTTCATATCTGTAAGATGGGAACATAGTAATCTTAGATTGAACAATATGAAACTTACTTTTCACATGGCTCAACACAGTGCCTAAGAGAAGAGATGATCAGCTTGGCCGGCAGAGAAAGGACCCAAGAAATGTTCCCAGTTTCACCTTTTGATGTCCCAACTGCAAACACTGTAACGCTCAGCACAGGAAGGCAAAAATAACAGCCTGTGTTTCCCAAAGCAGGTGAGTTCCCTGCAGTCTTACCTGACAGTGTAGGTGCTGAGATGGCTGAGGTGTGTGTAGGGGGCAGGGAGGGGATGCTGGTTTATGGCTGAGGGTCCATAATTATAAACTGGGGTTCAGTCTATGAGAAGTGCACTGTTTTCCCATGAGAACCAGATCTGGCCTTGGTACCCCTACACCCACATCGGGCTAACCAGATAGATGTCCCCCCTCTGGCATGCACCCTGCAAATCTTTCAGGACCACATCCTGGCCAGTTTGCTCTTGGGATCCAAGTAGCTACACTCCTTCCTGAGCAATCTTGGATCCAAATGGATCCCACCTGGCTGGGGAAGGATACATTCTCTCTCCCCTAATCCAGTGTCGTCCCCCCCCCCACCCTCCCCATCCACTTGCAGGAGGGGCCTGCTCAGCTAGACGTAACTCACTAACCAGAGTTCTCTAAATAAACCCTGGCATCACACAGGCCCAGGTGTCCAAGGAGACATTTGTTTCTGGCTGTTTAGGAACCTGGTTTCTTAAACTCCACTTTCAGTCACCGCTCTCAGATGCATCATTTTTAGAAACCTAGTTCTCAACCCAGGGGTTCCCAGCTCATAAGCTCTGAGGGGCCCCTCAATCAGAGGACGCCTGACTTGGCTGCTCCATGCCCACCCCTCCTCCCAGTCCCCCTGGGCCACATCCTTCATCTCACCACCTCCTGGATGACCCAACACATCTCTCCCCCTCAGAGCCTCCATGGCACAGGCATGCGTGTGTGTATACGCACGTGTGCATGTGTGTCTGCCTGGGGCAGGACAAGCGGTCTTATGAAAAAATCTAGAGAGTATTTCACTCCATACCCCCTCCGCCTTATTTCTGCACAGCACTCAGGCACTGAAACCCTGGATAGTTGAAGAGTTATTTGTTTACCGCCCACCTCCCTCACTAGAATGTAAGCTCCACGAGGGCAGGGAGTTTTCTCCATTTTGTCTGCTGCTGTTTTTTTGGCGTCCAGAACAGGGCCTGGCACAAAGTAGATGATACTCTGAATTAAGAGTGGCATGGGACTTCCCTGGCAGTCCAGTGGTTAAGCCTTTGCTTTCCAATGCAGGGAAGGGAGTGAGGGTTTGATCCCTAGTCCGGGAGCCAAGATCCCACGTACCTTGTAACCAAAAAACCAAGACGTAAAACAGAAGCAATATTACAACAAATTCAATAAAGATTAAAAAAAGACTGGCACAAGTGCATGAATACTTACTTGTACAAGCATCTCACCCCTGTGAGTTACTGTCACTTTAGAGGTGAGGAGCTGAGGCTCGTAGAGCTTAGGGGATCTGCCCAGGGCCCTCAGCAACTGAGTGGCTGGGCTGGAACCTGAATCTAGGCCTCCTGCCATGAAAATTACATGTTCCTTCCACTCCCCTCCATCACCACAGACCCAGCTCAGGCCTGTTCATGCAACATTCTGTTGACAAGCTGATGATATCGTTTAATTCCAGAAGCAGGAGGTAGGAACTTGTTAGCTCAGTCCCTGGTCACTGGAGGGCAGGACCCAGGCCCCCGAAGACAGCCTTGGACACCACACCTAAATCTCATAAGCAAGCCGCACCCCCCTGTTGGGGCAAACAAAGCCTGCTGCAGTGACATCGAGGGCTGATCTCAGCCAGGACCTGGTGGTCTAAGCCCGAGCCCCGCAGCTTTCCTCCACGGGGCGGAGGCCGGAGGCCCGGGTAGAGCCCTGTCACTCACCATGGACTCACTGATGAGCAGCAGCAGCAGGGCTTCCTCAATGTTATCCTTCGGGCAGTAGAGGCTGGAGGACAAAGAAGGCAGTCTGGCTGCAGTGTGGCCCTCACCAAGCGGCACAGCTGGCCCGCCCCGCTGGCCCTTCTGCCCCGGAGTCGGCACCAGCCCTCGTAAGGTGACCTTCCCCTGCATAATTCACAGGCACCGGATTCCACCTGTAGTTCTTTATGGTGCCCCAGAGTCACGGATCTAAAAGGCTGTGGTGGGCGAGGGTGGGAAACACTGCAATGCTCTTGGGGTGGGGGTGGGGGATGCCCCTTCCAGCCCCCAGCACTGCCTGGGGCAAGTGAGTGGCTGGAGCAAGCTGCAGAGATGAGCAGAAAAGAAGCTCACAGACCCCACCTTCGATTATTGGCACAAACAAGACAGACGGTGCATGGAGGCAGGGACTCCCCAAATAATTGTTTGGCCTTTGGAAGCCTTACAGGACCCCCTGCCCCCACCACAAGACCTGCCTTCTCTCGTCTTCTCGGCTCCTGCCTGTTGTAAGGAGCCTGCCTGGCAGGGAGCTGGGCGGAAAGTGCAGGAGAGCGTGGAGCAGAGAGAGGGGCCACCTTGGGCACCCAACCCCAGGGACGGTGGCCTGAGTTTGGAGTGGTCCCCTGAGCAGACAGGGCTTACTTGTCTCCTTCGTAGAGGTGAGGTTTCCGCAGGGCCTGCGTGATGAAGGAATTCTCCTCCTTGCTCATGAACTCGGGCAGAGGCTGAGACAGGGGGCTCCAGTAGCACTCCTCGCTCAGGGAGTGCAGCAGGACCCCAGCCAGGTGCTTGGCGGCCATCTGGCAGAGAGGGCGGGACTCAGAGGCAGGCACATGCTGGCTCTGCCCTGCTGGGCCTTCCACTCACGGCCCGGCCACATCTGCCTGTTGGCCACATGCTGCCCCTTCGGGAGGCCCACCACTCCACCCCCGAGGAGCCCCCTCCCTTCTCTGGGCCTCTAGCATTGAGCTGCCCCCACCCCTTCGGTTGGCCTTTGATGGCTCCCACTTCATCTTTTGTCCTCTTTCTTCTCTAGACAAGGGGTACATTTCCTCCTCCTTCTGGCCCCATGGAGCCTGGCATGGCTCTGAGTGTTCACAGGCCCTTGCAGAGCATAAGGCCCCCTGATACAAGCAGCTTTCTCCACCAGACACCTTCCTGATATTTGACAGAGAAGTCTAGAGTGAGAAGCAGCTGTGACTCTGATTCGGGGTGAATAAAAGCCTAAGCGGGCAGGCCTGAAGTGGGGCAGGAAAGCAAGCCAAAGTTCTTTATTAAGATCAGAAACCAAAGCCTGAGAATTAGCACACCACCGTGCTAGGAAGGGATGTCAGGAGGTTTCAGCACTGATCTAATGTGAGGGGCCATGCACAGTGCTGTGATGAGAAGGATGCTGAGGGCATGTCCCAGGCTTGGAGGAAAAGAATGCTGCGGTTGACTAGCAATGTCTGCTGTGAGCATGACAGGGAGAGGATAAACATGCACACATGCATGCAACATATGATCATCCCTGATTCAGGGGTTGCCTGCTAGGACTTCTGCAGCCTCCCGCTGAAATCAACCCTTGAATAAACCAGCCAGAGCCAGCACCCAGCCCTGGGGCCTCCTCCATTACCACTTTGAAGTTCTGAGTTGCTTTGGTCTCCACAGTGCGTAGTACCTCCCGGAGCTCTCTCATGCCTTTCACAATGTTCCTGGTGGGAAGACAGAAGAAGCAGGGTCGTTACCAGCCTAGTTCCCACAAAGACATCCTCATCAAACCCGAGGATGCTAGGAGGAGCCTGCCCGTTTGAATGCTATCTGACAACATCCAGTAATTGGTAAGAAAGGTCAGAATTGTAACACCAGGATCCTAGGGGCCCAGGACTTCACTGATAAAAGAATAGAAAGGCTTCCTCTTGCCTACAGCCCTCCAGAAACCCAGGCCTCCAGTTCACCATCAGAAAGGGACCAAGATTGGGTCTTTCAGATAGCCAGAGGGAATTTGTTATATGACACAGGGAGCTCAGCCATCTGCTCTGTGACAATCTAGAGGGGTGGGATGGGGAGGGAGGTGGGAGGGAAGTTCAAGAGCGAGGGGACATAGGTATACCCATGGCTGATTCATGTCGATGTATGGCAGAAACCAACACAACAATTGGTTTACACACAATTGTAAAGAAATTACCCCCAATTAAAAAAAAAAAAGGATCAGGTTATTTCAAAGATATTCTGGCCCAAGTGCTCTGGGCTGGTGTCAAACTTTCAGACTTGAGGTCAGCCTCAAAGTCTCCATCTTCACCCACCACATCTGGTCTACACTGGAATCCATCCTCACCTCTCAGTCCTTCATCACCTGGGGCCTAGATGACAGCGACAGCTGGTCTCACCCACTCCAGTCAGCCCTCTGTGCCTCACGCTTTTTAAAGTGTGATCCATAGTAAGAAATACGTTTGACACTGCAACTCTATATATATGCACACATTGCTTACATAAAACTGAAGTACGTTTCTTGGGCTATTATCTATCTCTACTATGTGCAAGGCAATCCACTCTGATATTTTCTATTTTACATCTCCTGCAACTTCCCCTTCTTAAAGAGGCTTGCAGCAGCCCACCAAACAGATTTCGCAGGCCACTGACGGGTGTGACCCGAGTTTGAAACCTGCTGCCGCTGTCCCTTGAGGACCCCACCTGACATGCAAAGACATCTTGTTCCCCTCCATGTTCGCTTTTCGTTGGCTCCCCCCAGGCTTACAGAATCCAGCTGGGGCGCTCAGCACGGCGTCCCAGGGCTGGCAGGCCTGCTCCTTGCCTCTCTCTCCCATGTCATCTCTCACCACTTGAGTCCTTTCTGAACAACTGTCCACAGTTGCCTATGTCAAGTTGTGGCACAGGCTTCCCTCACTGCATTTAAGAGCCCTTCCCCTACACATCCTTAAAAAAAAAACCTGTGTTTTTACACATCACTTTCCATATCACCTCCTCCTTGCAGCCTTCCCAGGCCCTCCTGACTGTGTAGCTCTTGCCTCATGTTAAGTCCTCTTTCGAAGCAAGCAGGGCACTGCAGTCACTTCCCACGTGCAGGCTGACCCCCTTCGCACTGTACACCCCCTGAGGGCAGGGTTCCTGTCTTGTTCCTGAAGCTCAGCCTGGGCATACAGCTTGTGCTCAGCAAATGTCCTCACCAGTTCTGGGGGTTCTCTAGATCACAAGGAAAATCAGTAGCTGCCAGGCCAGCAAACTTAGAAATGAAAGATCACAGAGGGTAAAAAGCCAAAGGTGACCTCTGGGGAAGTCACATGAGTCCCTCCTGCAGCTTTTATGCATGAAACAGATTCCTGGGGACTTTGAGCTTGGAGCCATAAAAGGACAGAAGCTCAATTTCTTGCCTTCTGGGAACCTCTGGTTTCCGACAAGCAAGCAAGCAACATTATAAATTCAGATCCCCGTTTGGAAGATTGAGAATGGAGACTAAGACCTGGGGGATAGAATAAGAATCACAGCGATCTTCCTTCGTCTGTCTAGAGCTTCTGAAGAACCAGAAAGGGCAAGAAGCAGAGGGTACCACGGGGTCCTCAGAGACTTCACGTCTGGGGGCTGCTACTGAAGGTAGAGTTCACCTCTCTGGGCTGTGCACAGTCCTCTCCTCTATAAAATCACACCTTCAGTTTCAAACAGCATCTCCCAGACTACCATCTACATGTCACATCTACACTTTTGGCTACTAGCTGTACACCATTAGTGTTATTGTTTTGTGCAATACTTTTCTTTATATCTTCTTTCTTTTTACTTCAGCAGACATCCCACCTTCATCAAACATACCTGAAATCATAGATTTGGTGTACAAGTTGTTTGGCTTCAGGTTTCGCATTTCTTTTTTGCTAATAAATATTACCTACAGAAGTACTTTTTTTTCAGAAGTACTTTAAAAACTTAGTGTGTGTATCACTTACAACCACTGGTGTGCCACTAGAGGTACTAAGGTGGGACCAGCAGCATTAGCATCAGGGGAACTTGTTAGAAATGCAAATTCTGAGGCCCACTACTCCAGATCTGCTGGATCAGAAACTCTACTGTAGAGCCCAGCAATCCATGTTTTATCAAACTTCCAAGAGGGTTCCAATGACATTCAAGTTTGAGAGCCACTGGTTTAGACGATTCCTCAATGTCTTCCAGGTCTCCTACGCTAAGCAATCAGGTTCCAGGAGGAACACCCTGACATGGAAACCCTGGCTTTGCAGCCAGATCCTAAATCTGCAATCTTAGGAAAGCAAGGTAGCCAATCTGAGTTCTAGTCTCCCTGTCTACAGGAGGATTCCTCATTTGCTCACAGTGCTGTCGGGAAGGTGAGTGTATGTGAAGCCCAGAGGACACTAGGCATGTGGTACAGACTCCCTGAATATTAGCTGTTTTCCCTATTTTCCTTTCTCCTTCTAATCTGGGTCCTAAACATCACGTTACTTATGTTTTAATTTGCCACATTATTTTGCACGGAAGTTCGGAAGCTAATGAGTGAAGGCAGGGGAAGGAAGTACCCAAGGGGATCCTCCAGTTTTGTGTCCATCTTTCTCCTTCCATCAGCCCCGCCCCCACAGGGGACAGAAGGACAGGACTCCCTGGTAGGCAAACCACACCCAGGGACAGGCTGGGAGCCCCCACAAGCCCGAAAGCAAGAGCCTGCAGCAGAAGCCCTTCAAGCCTACCGAGGACTCTGCCTTAGAAAAGGACCCCGAGATGGACAGCAAGGGCAGCTGAGAGGAAAACCACACAGCAGCCACTATTAGAAGAGTGAGAAAAGACTGCATGAATTCTCAGAAGAGAGGAAATGGCTGGCTCTGGGAACTCAGTCTGCGGGAGAGCTCTGCTGGAGCAGCGGGGCCAAATGGCCACAGGCTGAGGAGGGTTGGACCCTGGGGCTGCCCCAGGGCCCCTGTGGCCCAGAGGAAGCCAGGAGCTCCCCGGACCTGTGGGTGATTTTCCACTCTGTAGGCTACCTGCCAGCCTCCTCCCTGGCAGCCTGGCCAAGGCTGCTACCAGGAGACCAGAGCCAATAAGGACTATGATCCCTTCGTCCCACTGCAAGGCGAGGACTGTCCTCTCTCTGCCTTTAGGTTCTACATCATCAACACTCAGAAAGCACTCCCAGGTCAGCAGTACTGGCATTGCCTGGGGATTTGGGAGAAATGCAGACTGCCAGGGATCCTGCTTCTCCCAATACACACACAGTTTAGGAATGAGCACTGTATTTTAACAAGATCTTGTGCTCCCAAAGTTGTGTATTTTTACTGTTTTCAAATCTATAAGGGAGCTAGGCACCTAAATAAGCTTCCAAGAATTTTTTAGCAAAGTAATCACCCTTAGGCATCTTTGGGTAAGTTCCAATTTTTAGTGAATGTAGATAAAGAGAAAAACCAACACAGGTTCTGGTGGCCAGAGCTAGACAGGGAGAGACCCAGGCTCCCAGGCAATGCTGACCTGTTCTGAAATGTCGGGAATGCCCCTCCGCCTCAGTGCACCCCTCTGGGAAATGGGAAGTAAGCTGGGGTCTCTCCCAACAGCCTGAATAATCCTGTCAAAGGTCTAAACTGTTGGTGCCAGGTAGAGCTGGGGCTTTTCTGAGCCCCGTGAGAGGCCAGTTTGAAAGATCTCTTTGTTCCAATCTCTCACATTGACCTTTCTGAGCAAAGCTGACACTTTTAACAATATCCAAACAGGAGCCTCCAACAAACCCTGGCCCAGAATCAGGCTGCATGCAGAGCAGCCAGGAGGCCATGGATTCCAACTCAAGCAAATCCTGGCTGGTCAGGAGCAGAAAGAAAGAGGAGATGTGCGTGCAGGCATGGGTCAATGGAAACAACTTGTCTTAGAGCGGCCTGAAGGTGGGCCATGCAAGGAGGTGGCAAGTTCCCCAGGATCCCTGGTCAGCAGCAAGCAGTAGGGAGGATTTTGCAAAGCACTTTATCTCATCCAGTCTTTGCAACTTCTAATGAGGTTGGTGAGGGAAGCTTCATATTCCTGGGTACCCGCTCAATGCTTCGAAAAACAGGAGGCACACAAGAAATCATTGTGGAATAAATCCATCCTCATTCTCCAAGGGGAAAATTAAAGCCCTGAAGATGCCTGCCTTTCCAGGCCATCACTCATCCAATGGAAAAGGTGGGCTCCCTGCAGGCACCAAGAGATCCAGATTCTACTCCCTTCTAGCTAACCAGACCCTCCAGAAAGACAATGGTGTTCTGACTTGGCACAGTTACACTTCCCTTTCCTGGCTATCTGAACTCCAGGACTCCCTTGACTAAGTCTTTTCAAAGGGCTCACTGTACACCAAGTACCTGGATATTGTCTGACTCGATGGACATGAGTTTGAGCAAGCTCTGGGAGTTGGTGATGGACAGGGAAGCCTGGAGTGCTACAGTTCATGGGGTCGCAAAGAGTCGGACACGACTGAGCGACTGAACTAAACTGGATATTGAACACCAAGTATCCTGTTCTCAACAGGCATCCAACTAATATAGGGGGAATGAATTAAGAGACTGAATGATGAATGAATAGCTCATTTATGGGCTTGCACGTAAGGAGCTCATGGTCTATAAATTTAGCTATTCCCCTGATTTATTCAAGAGCTTAGCAAAATATTTTGCATACAGTAGGGTGCTCAACAAATTTTCTTGAGGGGGAGAATGAGAAACAGGGAATGAGAAAATACATGGAA